GCGGTGAACTGCCGCCCCCCGGCGGGATTGCGTCGCTGTCCGCTGCCCGCACCCCGCCCGTCCCCCGCCTCTGCCGCTGAACTTGTTGCTGAGGGGAGAGAAGGACCGGGCGGGAGGGGGGAGGGGGGAAGGAGAAGACGGTGGGGGAGGAGGAGGAGGAGGTGGAGGGCGGGCTGACCAGAACGGAGTCTCCTCAGCTGCATCTCCGCCGGCGTCCACGGGGGACTCGCCCACCTTCCAAGTCCTCTCCATGCAAACTGAAGCGCTCTTCTGGGCAGACTTTGCCAGGTAAGGAGACTGCGGAGAAAGGGCGGGAAGAGGAGGTTGGAGAGGGGTGGGGGCGGCGAGAGCCCTTCCTTTGGCTGGTCACAGCCCCCCCTCCTTCAAGAAAGGGAGCCCCTACATCTTCTCCCTCATTCAGACCCACACTCCCGTCCAGTCACACTCGCTGTCTTACACACACACACACCCCACACACATCGAACCTGGGTGCCCCCGCTTTCAACCTCTTCCCTCCGCCAACAGGTTTGGGCGCCGCGCCGGCTGAGCAGCATCAAGTGGCGGGGAGAGTTTGTGGGGGGGGGGTTGCTCGGGAGGCGCCGAGGCGGGAAGACCGCACCGGCAGCGCGGCTGAGGAGAAAACAGGGGTGGGGGGCAGAGGGAGAGGGAGAAGCAGCTCTGGAGAAGCAGGGACGCACATTCGGGCAACTGCTGGTGTTTGGGGAGGAAGGAGAAACAGCAGGAACAACCCAGTCGGTTCCCTTGAAGCCGACTCTTTCGTGAAATAGGTTTTTCCAAAATAGCATTTCCGTCGCAGACTACACAGCCCCTGCGTGCCCTCTCTGAGACTTCTGAACTTATAAGTTCCTGATTTAAGCCATTCTGAAGGTTCTCCGTTCCAGGCCGTTCATCATCTCCTCTTGTGGAACTGCCCATTTTCTCCCTCTCTTTGGCACAGCAGGAACTATGGATCCTGGGAAAGATTGAGAGAGATTCTTGAGCGTCCACCTCTGTAGCAGGGCACCCCCAGAAAGAGAAAGGAAGGGGCTCCTTAACATCCTCATGTCCCAAACCTGTCCTCATCTTTGTCCATAGAACTCCAACTGTAATTTTTTTTTACCCTCCCTAAACTTTGTATTGTGTTTCAGGGTTCCTCTACTTCCTCTGTGTCTCTTTTGTTGCCTTAGATATAGATTGATTCACTGCTCATCCCTTTGCCTCTCTCAAATCCATGTGATCCCCTTCCTCCCTCACCACAGCTCCCCAACATTTCTATGTGATGATCATTACCTCAGCTCCCAGTGCATCTCTTTCTCATTCTACCCTCTTCACTCTCCACCACATTCTTTTCCCACCTAAACTTTCCTCCCAACTATACTTGTCTCCTCCTCCTCCCCCCTGATGTTTGATGAAACTCCTGGCTTTTCCCTCTTTTATTCCATTAAAGCTTTCTCAGGAGTGTCCTCCCCCTGTTTAAACATTTCCTTCTCTCTTCTCACTATCCCAGTCATTTGTGTAAGAAGTTCTCTGATCAGAAGTTCTGCTTAGATCAAGTTGAACACTGAAGTCTTTCCACACAGACTTCTCCTTTACTAAGGCACCTCTTATAATTCCTAGATTTTTTTAAAAAAAAAATTCAGCTCACCTTAACCAAGGGGGTGTGCCAAAGTGTTTTTCTAAATATCTTTTTCCAGTCATCTGCTCCTCTTGAGTGGAAGTGTCCCCCAGTGCTTTTGTTAGTTTGTTGGGTGCTTTAAAAAGGAAAACTTGGAAAGTGTATTCTGCTTTGTCTTTCTAAAACAGTCAAAGTCTAGAGGAAGTGAGTGGTTTTCCTGATGTGGTGATCAGGTTGAAGAGAATCAGCTATGAATTCAAAAGGGATATGTTCTTCATGCCTCCCTCCTAAACCAGCTGTTGCTAAAAGATGGAGGTGGAAATTGGCAAGTGTTCCTACAGCTGCCCTAGCCTACAGATTTACCCAAGACCACTCAGCCTCCTGTTTCCGTTCACCTCATTTCCCAGCCAGCAGTTGGCAACTGATGGGTGTTATAGGGATAGGTGGGAGGAGATACGGGTCTGAATTTGGAAGACATTTCCTAGAATCAGGACAGAACTTCTTTGCCAGAAGATTGTGCCCTTGGCCTGGCAGATTGGCCAGATAATACTTACCAGACCTGATCTGATTTGATGACTAATTATCTATTGCAGACACTGTCCTTCTTGCTAAAAAAAAACAAAAACATTCACACATGGAATTTTCCTGATCTCAGCCAAATAATAAAGAAAGTGCTACATTTTTGGCAGTCATATCGGACAGCTCCTCAGGTATTATACATAGTGAGGATGTTAAGCCAGTTATCTTAAAATGACTTGAATCATGGGAAACCATTGAGGGAGGTAGCATCATGTGAGAACAAGAAAAAAATAACGGGCAAGGCTTTCCATTATATAAAAACAATAGACACCCTAACATCCTGACAATCTTGTTTTTACATTTCAGTGTATTGGACTGTTTCTAAAGAAGACACTGAGCAATACTTATAGCAATCTAGACAATGGCAGCTGGAGTAGCAGCATGGTTGCCTTTTGCTCGGGCAGCAGCTATAGGATGGATGCCAGTAGCCACAAACCCCATGCCAAGTGCTCCTCGGCAGGACAGAAAGCGAAGCCAGGACTCTCTTGTTGTGCTAAATGTGAGTGGCACCCAGTTCCAGACCTGGCTGGACACCCTAGAACGCTACCCTGATACTCTGCTTGGCAGCTCAGAGAGGGATTTCTTCTATCACCCAGAGACACAGCAATACTTCTTCGACCGGGACCCTGATATCTTCCGACACATCCTCAATTTCTATCGAACAGGGAAGCTGCATTACCCACGCCAAGAGTGCATCTCAGCCTATGATGAAGAGTTGGCCTTCTTTGGTATTATCCCTGAGATCATTGGCGATTGCTGCTATGAGGAATACAAGGATCGACGACGGGAAAATGCTGAACGTCTTCAGGATGATGCTGATCAGGATAACGCTGATGAAAGCAATCTGCCCTCCATGACCACACGGGAAAGGATGTGGAGGGCTTTTGAGAATCCACATACCAGCACACTGGCACTGGTCTTTTATTATGTGACAGGATTCTTCATTGCAGTTTCTGTCATTGCCAATGTGGTGGAAACAGTGCCCTGTGGGGTAAGTCCTGGTGCCATCAAGGAATTGTCCTGTGGAGAGCGTTACGATGTGGCTTTCTTCTGTCTGGATACAGCCTGTGTCATGATCTTCACAGTTGAGTATCTGTTGCGTCTGGTGGCTGCTCCCAGTCGTTACAAGTTTGTGCGTAGTGTCATGAGCATCATTGATGTGGTGGCCATTATGCCCTATTACATTGGTCTTGTGATGACCAACAATGAAGATGTCAGCGGGGCCTTTGTAACACTGCGTGTCTTCCGGGTCTTCCGGATCTTTAAATTTTCCCGCCACTCACAGGGTTTGCGTATCCTGGGCTACACTCTGAAAAGCTGTGCATCAGAGCTTGGCTTTCTCCTCTTTTCTCTCACTATGGCCATCATAATCTTTGCTACAGTCATGTTCTATGCTGAGAAAGGCTCAGCATCCACCAAATTCACCAGTATCCCTGCTGCTTTCTGGTATACCATTGTCACTATGACCACCCTCGGGTAAGTTATGTGGCTTTTGTATTTACTTGGTGGAGAACTGTATTGTTACAGTGGGTTGTCTGCTGCTGGTTTTCAAAAAAGTGTTTGATATATAAACTGATGTTGGCTGCTGGTGTTTTGATCAAGGAAGTTCTCATGACTTCTTATTATGGCGATTCACCATCTCCGAAACAATCAGAAAGATTGAAAAAAAGCAATAATGGATTCTTAGAATTGCTTTGATTTCCATACTCCATTGTGTTGGTGGTAAAATTTCTAGCTGGCATCACATACCAATTTCTTTTCACTGTTAAAGTGAGAGTAGGGAGAAATGACCTTAATGACCTTATGACTGAAATCTAATCAGAGATGTTTCATTTGTGATCATTGAATCAGAATGATTAAAAAAAAACCTCTCAAGCTTTCAGTTATATTAATAACTTATGTATTTGTGTAATGGTGACTGTTTTAACAAACTTTACCCTGATCTTTGATGTCCTAATGCCTCCAACTCAATCAGAACTTGCACAATCCTTCTCCATTTGTTTGCATTTATGTCAGTGTTAGTGTACCATAATAATAGATTATGATTGCCACGCAAGATAATGTTTCTCTAAATATTTGCTAAAGATAATTATGCTTACAAACAACTCCTGATGGATTTAAAAGTAACTCAGTTTATATTCAGATTCAGAATATAGCACATTGAAATGTATGTGGGAAGTTCACTTGTTTACAAATGGCAACAAGTTTGTCAAACGCTTAGATGGATGACATGGTGATCTCTTTATGTTTCAGGAATGTATAAATGTATTTTCCTAGGGAGGGAAATGATGCAGCACAAAATAAGTTCATTTACATTTTAGTGCAGAGAAGTTAAACTGAACTTAAATCTCCTCTTGAAGTCGGTGGTTTTCCAAAGTGCACAATACTGGCTATGCTTGTCTAGAAAAATTAAGTTAATTTAAAAAGATTTTTATAATTTTATTCAAAAGTATTTACAATAATTCATTCAAGGACATGGCAAAAAGATAACCTTGCATTTTCAACATTACAACTGTGTAATAATTTTAATTTAAAAAATTATTAGCTAGAACTAAACTCAGTAATTAAATATTTTATTTTATTTATTGTCTGATTTAAATATTATTTATCACTATATCAAAAATAAAGAATGTGGGTTTATAGTTTATGCTGGGATGATTTTCAAGTAATCTATGATGTATAAAGAAAAAAGGGAGGAAGTGCTTCAAAAGATGAAGGCGGGAGTATTCCGTCATCAGCTCAGCAACTTGTCTGATAATAAGCAAAATTATTTTATAGGTATATTTTGTACAGCATTTTATGTTTAGTAATCAATAGTAACATAAAGATAGAGGAAATAAATAGTCTTCCTCTATAGGCTACATTATTATTTTCCATTTTAATGTAGTTTTACTCATGGGACAAAATATAACCAATTAAGCATCATTGTTTTAGTAGCAGAGATTTAAGCATGCATTTAACAGTCTCACTGAAATCAGTGGGATGCAAAAAATGCTTAACTATGGCTTGATCATGAGTATAAATTAGTTTCAAACCAGACATGATGGTTGTAGAACTTCTTCTCTAAAATGCACCAGTCATGAAACTGCTGATGGTGTTAGGGAGTATTAATCCATTCATACATCCTTCAAAGACTTTCCCCCCTAAACTGGCAGTGTTTGAATTGAAGCCTGATAAATGGAAAAATTGTCCAGAGGTGACTTAAAGGAAAAAAGAGGGCCCAGCAACTACTACTTTTAATTCTACTCCCTTATCCTCTTGTTTAAATGTGATTTGGATTAGACTAGAGCCATGCCTTATGAAACAAGGAAACTGCATCTTCAGTTTCTCATTTGGCACCAGATACCTCTAGTGTGGCATTCAGTAAAGTATTGGCAGTACTGCTACAGGAAACATTAGTTGATGCACAACATTGAACTAGTATTTACCACAGCACTTGAAGACAGAATGTCTGGTTTCTAGTTATTGTGGCTCATACTGGCCTTGTCCATGGTTCTGAAAGAGACACTTGCTTTTTGCTCCATTGCCTTGCAGCTAGTTGCTCCAAGTTGAAAATCCTCATAATCATTTATTACTAATACTTCTTCCTTCCCCTCGCCTTGTTTCTACTGTTGATGTATGTTGTTATTTATTATGATTAAAGAATCTAACATTCTCATGAAAGACGGATATAGAAAAGAGGTGGGGCATGTTGCATCCTGCAACAAAATATTAACATTATCCTTTTGTGCAGGACCCCAGCAAACAGTTTTTCTAATCCTGTATGTAATGTACACCTTCCACTTTTAGAACTTAGATCTATGAAGATTATTAAGGTTTTTAATACAAGGGATAACTGAAATACTAAGAATGTGTGTTAATGTTGTATTTGACTTGAAGATGATGGCACTTTTAGATTTCCTGTGATATATTTGCTGTAATCCTGTTGCTTAGCATAGTAAGTCACAACTGGTGTAAGTCCAGTCAACTTGGTTGATCCTCACTGGTCAGTAGGCTTACTCTAGTTGTGACTTGGTATGCTAAACCACTGGTTCTTAACCTTGGGTTACTCAGGAGTTTTGGACTGCAACACCCAGAAGCCTTCACCACCAACTGTGCTGGCTGGGGTTTCTGGGAGTTGCAGTTCAAAAACATCCGAGTAACAAAGATTAAGAACCACTGTGCTAAACAACAGGATTTCGGCTAACATTGCACATATCAGGAAATATAAGACTGATACTATTTGTCCTTTTATATCAATTTTGTTACCTTTATAAAGTTTGTGGTTGAATTTAATATAGTAGTTGAAATAATATAGTAGAAAATAAATCCTCTCATGTGCATTTTCAGTTTATTTTGGAGCAAGGTCAAATAAAAGTGAAGAAGAGAAACAGGAAGGAGCAAACTTAAATGACAAAGATGGTTACTATTTATATTGACTTTTAAGAACAATCCATTTTCCAGTCATCCATTAGACACAATTACCCAATTCACATGTTTTAAGTCTATCTTAGAACTAAGTAAACTTTACACTTTATCTACATGAAAAATTACTTAATTTAGCAAAGTTAAATGAAAATTGTGCTGTGCTTGCTCAGGAAATTATCTGGAATGTATAAAATCCCGTGGAAGTTGGTAATAAGTAAATAGTTAACTTTATGATACATTGTAAAGAATGGCTATGATTACTCTATTTTGCTGAGAAAATAAGGCTGTTGAACAGCAACTTCATACATTTGAAATGTTATAATAGAGGGAATTTTTCTCAGTTCTGTGAACCGTTGGGCAATTGAACAATCTCCAAAAATGAAGTAGGTTACATTTTTTTCTTTTATAAACATTCATCATGCTAAATACTTTTACATTTTATCATCAAATAACAATTCTGACAGGTAATGTTCAGAGTCAAGAAGAAAGTTAAAAGTGACCTTTTGGGGGGGGGGGGAAGGCACAGACTACCTTGAAATTTAGAATAAACTTGTATACCTTTAGTCTCAACACTGACTTTTCTATAGCTGTCCTTAATAGAATTTGCCACATTCTGATGCCAATGTAGTGTTATTATTAGTTCATGGCATTTTTAAAAAAATGCCAGAGATATGGTGAACAATCCTATCATGGAGAGGAGGGATTGAGACATGTCTAAGGTCACCCACTGGGACCTGAAATCCCAGTCTAGTTCCCAAATTTATATCCTTGAAGATCAGAATTTAGACTAGAGAAGTTAAGACTTTTCCTCCGAGCTACATATAGTTATAAAATAGTCACATTTGGAGCTGGAAGGCCTTTAGCATTGTATGCCATTGCATGGCACAGTAAAAGGAAGCCACTGGCGTTGTAAAGGAAAAGGATTTATCCCTTTCTCACTGTGAACCCCCCTGAATTCTTCCAAAGAAGCAAAGGGACAATAGTCTTCTAGCCAGTGACACACTTTACACTTATCCTATGGTCCAAAAAAGTCAAAAGTTACCACTTCCCTCAGATTTGAAGCATTGCTGCTAGTGAGAAATCACTTTAGCCCTATTCAGGCATCTCACATGATTCAGAATGGGTTTCCATGGTCCTGAGTCATGTGGAAAGCCCCCACAGATAGCAGGTGCTCTCTTCTTTAGACTCACTGCTCTCCATATATGCAAAAGCAACAATGCCAGGAATTGGACTTGCAGCAACAGCACTCACCAGCCTCCATGATAAACACTCCCACACAAACATACTGTATATACAATCTGCTAATGACTGAATAGGACTTTTATTTATCATGCTTCTTGGAACTCTGTGTCACTGTTACTTACTTCCCTCCCTCTTTTCATTTTTCACTGTGAGTACCTATAGTTATCAAATTAGTGATTATGATTTTTGGTTTATTGTGATTTATGTGCACATAAATCCTATGGATTTCAACAGAAGGAAAACAACAGGGTTGAGTATCAGGAGATTGTGCATGGACATTCATATGTGACCCTCTCACAGCATACAAAGGATGTGTTTATTAAGTTGGTATTAGTACTTCTGAATTAGTTCAGCTAGTGAGATATGTGCATTCTGATTAGTTATTTCATAATCTTCTTATTCTGCCCACTGATATTTAAGATCATGGATAAAGACTGTTATGGAGTTCTACTACATATTCTATTGTACTGCTATTGCAAACAGACCCAAGGCATCATATTGGCTCAGCAGAACATATATCAACATTGCTACACTGGTAATAAAAAACTATTGTTTCACAAAGCTATTATGCAGCAAGAGGATATTACAACAGCAGAGTGGTAATGACTCACTCTTCTGGCATTTTTTGTTTATGCAATTAATACTTTAATAAAATATAATTCAATAATATACAATATTTCTATGTCAATATAATGAAATCATCACTGCACAATTATCTACGGCTTTGTGTAAATTAATAAAATACATGACATCCAAAGATGCGTATGATTTACACTGCCAATATTTAGTAAAAGAAGAGTGATTTTTTGATACATCTGCTACACATT